TGTGAAATGTGACAAATATTATAGAACATAGATAGCATTGACTTTGCAAGAATTTCAAGAGTGACAGAAATTATTGTGGCTGGGCAATTAAATGTTTCAAAATTAAGAAAATGAGAATTTCTTCACATTATGCGCACAGATTAAATTTTTTGAGTTACAAGCATAGTCTGAATTATATACATAATTTATGTCTATGCTTAAAAATTAAATTTGCACGTATAATGAGATTTACACGCAACTAATATATATCCAAAACAAAGGGAAATTTTTCTCCAAACGATAATGTTTAAATCAAAATTGTTGTACCCAGTTATATTTAGATGTAGCTGTGTACACTTATAATTTGTTTCTCATAAATAACTTTACCTTATAAACAGCTTAAAGTATTGCAAACACATAAAATAGTTAGTCCAAACTTGTAGAAAAATAAGTGGACATTTACACGACAGCACACATATATTAGAAATGCATGCAAGATAAATTAAGCATAAGTGAATGTTTTGAGCAGTTGAGTCCACGTTTTTATTTTATTGGAAGTTGCTCGTCATCTCTCTCATTATTCACTATTTTTTTCTTTTTAAGAATTTAAAGACCTCTTAATTGTCTTTTCAAGGATAAGCCACGAAAAATTCCACAAAAAAAACATCTCCTTAGTCCTAGAGAAGTTTTGATTCTTTATATAAATAGAACGGTAGGAGTACAACATTGACGTTCATGATACTGATATGTCTATTCTTAGCCAAAACACAAATTACTACGTCCTTATCAATTTCAATGAGAATGAGATACCAATTAAATGAGACTTAGTGGCCTTCAGTCTTAAGGTGTGTGCGTTTTGGACTCGGTGATTGTTGTGTTCCCAATTTTCTTTTCCGGTTGATTATCAAAAAAAAAGATTATATATGAATTGTTGGTGGTATCTTCAGACTTTTTTTTTTTTGGAACTGGTATCTTTTCTTTTTAAAATATAAGAAACATCTTCATTAACGAGAATTAGACATTACAGAATCTGAAATAAACGAAAGAGGGATAAGTCCCTGCTCACGTGGGCAACTCTGTTTGTAGACTTCCTAACAAACATGACAAAACTAAACTCAATGTCTTTTAGCAAATATTTACAATCAGAGAAAGAATCCCAAACGGAGATTGATCCACGTTCTTTCTATTTGTAGTATAGAATGTTTATAAATCATCTATACAGTTTGTTAGTTGTTGTAATAGAAGTTTGCTGAAAGTTATACATGTAACAGTTTAAATTAAAAAATAATAGATATAATTATTAAGAAAATTTCTAAACCTCTAGAAACTATCGTAAATGTTATGTTACAAAATAATAAAAATAGATTTTTAATCAAGTCAAAATGCTAAAAATAAACTCAAAAGTCGTTGCCAAATGAACTGTAACAAGTTGAAAATTATTTATTTATTGTATGAGATTAGATAACTCATATAATAAACTAAAGATGATTAATTACCATTGTCACTATTTTAATTTTTTTTAGAAAAAAATTATAAAGATCTTCATTTATCACATTTATTACTTTTTAATTACTATTCAAATGATTTGATTGGTTAACTCTAATCTGTAGCGGTTCAGCAATGTTTGATATTTATAATTTTATAAATTAAATTACTCACTACCTATAATTTTATGACTAAATGTATTCTAAGTAATATTTAATTTTCTCTATTTAAAAAAAAAAAAAAAGTATAAACATCAATATAAGAGTCCAGAGTGTCCCTTTTCAAATAAAAATTTTTAAATGTCATGTCATGAATTCGGCCAATTGAATAATGTCCATATGAATTCATAAATCCATGGAATGCTATTCCCTTCTCAAAGCAATCAGAACAAAGCTTTTACAGAGAAGCTTCCTCCGTTTGGAAGAATCATCTTTTTTCTTTTTCTTCTTTTTTTCAGAACTAAGAGCCTGGCTTTGTCAGTGCCAAGTAGTGGATGAACTTCAAGAGCTTATTTCAACCTTTTAATTAAAAATATAAAAATCGTTGATATCCCAAATTATTATATTTCCTTTTGCTATATATATTTTTTCTTTTCTTTCAAATTTATATCAAATGAATTTAATCATTGATAACTTTCACCGGCTTATAATTTAACCTTTCGAATTTTTATGGAAAAAAGTTTTGTGATCTTTTAAATTTTATATTTTGATCTTACAGTTCCTCTGAATTTCATTTTTTATAATAATCTCATACCTCGTAAATTGAAATATGAATCAACTTTAGGATGTTATAAATATAGAAAAAGTGAAATTCAAGATGTCACAAAGTTAAATGGAGAAATTTAGGAAATCACAAAATATTTTTCGAAGTTCAGTTCTTGTGATTTATCTATAATACTAGTGTTTTTATAAATGCTTAGATATCCTTTCAAAAATAATATTTAGATATTCAAAATGGATAATTATAAATTTTGATTTATGGACTTTTATAATTTTTTTATTTTAATATCTGAACAGAAAATATCTTCAACGAAGTACCTAAACCAACAATTTTAGTGCAATTGAGTGTATTTAGCAGAAAATTCTAAAAAAAATAAAAACAAACTATTGTGCACACAAACTAAGCCCGAGGTGCATGAGATTTATTATATGAAAATGAATATTGCATTAAATATAATAAAGTAAACAATAAGATATTTTTATTTGTCAATCCAGCATAATGTGTTAATTTTTTCGCGTTTTAGACGTTATAAAGATTATGAAGTCTTGAGTTTCAAAATTTTTCCACTGGTATTATAAATTTAGTAAAAAAGAATGAGATTATAAAATAAATTTAAATGCTTTAATTATTTAAATGAAAAATTACTATTTTATTCTTGTATTTTGTTGAAGTATATGACATAGTTTTGTCCTTGTCTTTTGCCTCCATTACACTATTTTTCTTTTTTCTTTTTGTATATTTCCATTAAATACAAAGACAAAGCAATTAATTTTAATAAAGTGTAGGAACAAAATAGTTAATAAATAGGAGGAAAAAATAGTCAATTTGAGCAAAATATAAAGACAATATTATAATTTATTGACAGAAAAAGTACAAGAAATTGACAGAATAATATAATATAGTTATAGAGATAAAAGATAGAGATAAAACTATGTATTTTTTAGAAAATACAAAGGTAATGTTGTATATTATGACAAAATACAATGATAAAATGATAATTTTTCTTTATTTAAATGCTTAATTTACTTTAACAGATTCATGATTTTTTTTTTGTCAAGTAGATTTCATGATTATAGTAATTATTAGAGTTTTTCATTATTTAATTTACAACTTCATTTAAAATAAATTATATCACATAATTGATAATAGAGACAAATTATATATATTAAGTTAATTATTAGAGTTTTTCATTAATTTAATTTACAACTCAGTTTAAAATAAATTATATCACATAATTGAATAATAGAAGCAAATTATATATATATTATATATATATATTATTAATATATAATATATATATATATATATATTATATATATATTTGAAACTAATTTATTGAAGTACTAAAAATTAATTAGATTATTGACATTTAATTAAGTTAAAATAAGTCCAATCAATTTCTAAAGGAGCAATTTACCAAATCTCATATGGTGTTTCAATTTTAACAAAATATTAGAAAAGAATACAAATTAAGATAATAATAATTTTGGTCAAAAAAATTTAAATAGTATCAAAAGTAACCTTGCAAGAGAAAAACGACAAAAAGGAAACACTGAAAAAAAAAAGAAAAAAAAAGAAAGAAAACAATGAAAAAAAGGAAACAGGCAAAAAAAAGGAAGCTCATAAACAAAGGAAACGCTGAAATATTTTGTTTTGTAGTGCCCTAATAGAAAATACAATGGCAACGGTAGCAATTGTAAATACGATGTATATGGTATTTACATGGTATTATACAATATACAAAATATATACATATATACAGTATATACATATGTAAAACCAATTAAATACAGAATATATTTAAATACAGAATATATATATATATACTTATATATAAATATTATATATATATATTATAATTATATATATTATTATTTTGAGTATCAATCTGACCCAGACATCGAAGTCCTACTTATCTTCTTTAAAAGATGAACAACAATTCATGAAGAGTGAATATATTATTTTAGTATCAATCTGACCAGAATCGAAAGTCCTACTTATCTCTTTAAAGCATGAACAACATTCATAAGAGTGACGGTTTTCCAGCGAGCGCGAGCATTAAGTTGTTGATACGATTATACAAAAACGAAATCGCAAAAGAAAAATGATAGAATAAAAAACGAAAACCATTATTTACAACAAGAAACAGCAGCTGGAAAACATAATCAACAGACCTTTTGAATCAAAAAACGCAACCTTGGAAGAGCAGAAAGAATAAGAAAATATAGCTGCTGAATAAGTTTCAAAGACTAAAAAAAGATCATCTTATTAAAGACAGCTCAAAATGATAGGAAACGGAAAAAAAAAAAAAAGAATATTTTTGTTTTGTAATACCCTAATAAAAAAAGGGTACAACAGTAAACTTGACAATAATTTAAATTTCAAAATCAAACTGACATTTAGTATAATATCACATTTCTAAATTAAAGTGAGGTGGCAGTATTTCTCAAATGGCAAGCTAATAGGCGCATTTGTGGCTCATAAAACACTTTTATGTGCTCCCATAGGAAAGGTTGTTAGGTGCCTTTAGTACCTTATGGTTCTGATTGCAATGCAAGACTGCTGCCCTTTTTTTTCTCTCTGCTGGTTGAACACGATCACCACCTATTCATTACTACAGCAAGAAGTCAATAAACATGAATGCAAACTTTCAATAACACTAAAATGATAATGATGAGCTTTTGACTCAATAAAACTGCCATATTGGAATCATCTTTAGGACTTAAAGAGTTAATTAACCAAAAACAAAAGCACTGTAACAATAAGCAACTCAAAACAAGATGAGTTAGATTAGTATTAATAAGAAATGTTCCAAGTAAAGAAGAAAAAGTAAATTGCTCAACTAACAAGGGGCTTGAAGGCCTCGGACAAACAGGCCTAGGAGATGGTGGAGTAGAAAACTAGCTGCGAGAGGCGATTAGATGGGATAGCTGGGATGAGGCTGTTAGATGGGATAACTGCGGGTCTGGAGGTTCTGGTTCTCCCAGCTGCCTTAGTTCCTTCACTGTAGGATGGATTGATTCTACCTCGAAGGCCTCAAACAAACAGGCTTAGGAGACGGTGGAGTAGGAAACTGGCTGCAAGGAGCCAGATAACAACCTCCCTGTAGTCAGTCTCCTACTCCACCGTTTCTTAAACCTGTTTGTCCGAGCCCTTCAAGCCTGCAGGTAGAATCAATCCGTCCCACAGTGGAGGAACTAAGGCAGCTGGGAGAACTAAAACCTCCAGACCCAGAGCAGCAGGAAGAACCAGAACCTCCAGACCCACAGCTATCCCATCTAACAGCCTCCTCACAGCCAGTCTCTTACTCCACCATCTCCTAGGCCTGTTTGTCTGAGGCCTTCGAGTCCCTGCAAGTAGATTCAATCACTTATTAAAAAGTAGTCTTCGATATCTTGAAGTCTATCAGGTACCTACAATATTATTGAATACCATGTTTACACTATGAAAATATAATTTACAATTTATCAATAATGCATGGTTCTCTATATTAATGCTATAATGACTACATACAAGAACTGGGTAGCTACTCAATGTCAAACTCTTCAACCAGAACCATTGGCAGATCCTCTAATGTCTTCCGAAGAAATATTTGATCTTTGGGTGCTCATTTGGTGTGCAGGATTCTCACTCTGATTGAACATTTTCTTGATAGCTTCTTCTTTCTCATCAATAAAGTCGAAAAAGTGAAAAATAACCTGAGAACAGCGAGTTGTTGATGAAATTGGGGATGGAGAAGCTACTTGCATTTGCCTCCGTTTGTAGCGCACAAATTGGCGGACGGCTCGAAGTAGAAATACTAGAACAGCAACAAGAGTGAAGATACCACACAGAAGATATAGACCCCAGAAACTGATCAAATGAAGTTGGTTAGGCTCAGATTTTCCTCTCTTCTCTCCAGGACATCCCATTTTGCAGAACCACTTCGCATGGATCCTTTGAAGCTCTCCAGTCTCGGAAAGTTTTAAAATTGCAGTAGAAATGTCAATAGCAAGTGGAGAATCTCTTTGAAAAGCCTGATTTACCATAATGAAGCACACTTGGGAGAAAGTCTTGGACCATGATAAAACACTATAATTTCTCATCCAAATGCCATAATGGAGGACGAGCTTCAGTACTAAAATGCAAAAGACAGCAAAATTATGTTTCCTTTCCTTCGAAAGTGAAAAAGTTTTTATTTTGTTTATATGAAAATGATCATGATCACCACGACTCCTGGCTTAGTCATAACCTTTTCAGGCTACATGCATTTAGAGATGATCATATGAATGCACACTGAAAAAAGAAAATGCAAAAATGTACTATGCCAAGACAAAAGGATGCTTCTTTTGTGCAGTTTGTATCCAGAAGTGAAATATCAATTGCAGGTTTATCAAGCAGACATTAAACATCATTCTTGCATATGATGTAAGAAAGTTCAATTGCTTCTAGAGGAAAGGTACTTACAAATCCCCATCCACCCCTGCTAAATGGCTGCCCAATAATGCCGAACTCGCTTTGTTTTGAAAGAAACAGCTCTACATATGGAAGCTCATCTACAATTGCAGCCACCCCTCCATTATTAGGCCCTAGCCTCAATGCTGTTTCATACTCCTCTGGGGTCCCAAGAGGAACAAGTCTAGAACGAGATATGTAAAGACTGTCAGATAGGTAGCCATAAGCAAATGATCCTACTTGGTATCCAATAGGCCAGCTACTTGAAATCAAACTGTCAATTCCAGCAATGGGTGATGAAAGCTGCTGAACTGTAAGGATTGAAGTCAAACTTGCTGTATAGCTTGCAGTTAATACCATCAACAGGAAAAGCCATACTACCATTACCAAGCGTCCAAGAGGACTTACAGTAGTTTCTTCTGCAATGAAATGACAATTCAGTACTTACAAGTTTTAATACAGGAATCCCAGAATTGCCATTCTATACTAAATTAAGATGGATATTTAATAATTGTAAAGGTAGCTAAGAGGAAAAGGATTCCTTTATTTAACTTCTTCAATAGAATAACAACAACAATAACAGTAATTGTTATTTATCTAAATATTTATTTCTATATTTATTAACTTCTTCACTTATTTAGCAGTTACCAAATTGTTTTGAAAAGCTTTTCTGTATCAGAGAATTGTAAAAAGAAATTTTATAACAATAACAAAGCCGAAGAGACCTAAAGGTGCATTTGCAAGCAATTCTCCTATCAACTCACACCAGTCCTCATTGGTTGCAGAGAGGGAAAAAGTAAAGCTACAAGAGCATGAATTGAATTATGTCTATATTCTCACTCAGATTTTGCATTTCACTTTCACTGGAAAATGCAAGACATAGCTTGTCTACTGATATTTAAAACTATAAAATTCATAAGAAGAAAGCCTTTAGACTTATGGAGTTTAGAGTGAGATCAGAGTCACGTTTTAGACAGAAATATTCTCTGAAGCACAGTGCCTACTTATGGACGCATATCTTAAAGAAATAAATAGGGGAAGCAGAGTAGTAATCTAAGACAAGTATAGTATTCCTTACGGTTTGTCTTGAATAGAGTCGAGAAGCTGAACCTGCCACCGGTAACAGGTTAACAATGTTAGAGGTTTACTATCTCAGCTACATATAGATTAATCTATTGCAACATCAAACTAGGAGTTAAAGTGAAATGAATAAATTGACTTCATCCAAGTATAGATGATCATACAAGAACATTGTTACGATCTGCCTTCTGGGAGGACCCCTGAAATCATCATTGACTCGATGTTCAAGAATCCAAATAACAACAGCAATCATCACAAAAGAAGCTGCTGTGACACACCACATCTCCACCGTAAATGGTTTAAGAAATACCCAAGCACTTGATTTTGAATTTCTGATTGGTGCGACAATGACTAGGCCAGTAGCAGCATAAGGCTGAGAAAAATCCACTATTTTTGTACGGTTTGTTACAATTGCAATATCTCCAACAGCTGCATCAAATACCTGACACCAAAACATTAGAGAATAAAAAAGATTTGCCCATCCAATTTCAGAGGTTCTACTTGCTATAAAAATGCATCTAAATACGGCATTCTGGCTACACCCACCAGCATGAATCTCAATCAGACTTAGGCCTACCTGAAAAAATGACCATAATCCCACACCCCATCATAATATCCATTTATCTTACAATGTAGATGATATTGCTTAAGTTCTAATTAAGTAATAAAGCATTTATATGAATCCAAGTAGACATTTTATGTTTGAATCAGACAACAACTCCATAGTTTCCGTAAATTTCCATGTCCTGGAAGGTCATGCTTGCCCCAAAGACCTGCCTAAATTTTTCTATTTCTGTTGCCCTCTCTCTCACCAATTGTAGAAGTCAATAATATTTACTTACACCATCTGCCACCCTCTGTATTAGCTCGTTATAATTGGGATTGGACCGGCCGTCCCCAAAGATCTCAAACTTGAAAGGTACATCATACGGGACTAGTCTCCTCACTGCAAGGAACACATCTATACAATATCCTTCAACTATATGGCTCTTGTTTTCAGTTACAAACTCAACAAAACTGGCCCTATATGGCACTCCAATTCTCAATGGTCTTTCGTTGTCAGCAATTACCCAACCACGTGGCCTATCAACAGTTCCACCGGGCCAGGTAATGGTACGAAGCTTCTGATCCAGACGGGAATAATTAGCTTGTTCGCCTTGGTGATTCTGTGGAGGTAAAGTTGATAAACCTGAGCTATTAGACCAATAACCAACTGTACGAATAGACATGTGATCAATATTAATGACATCATAGCCACCACTCTCAATGTTCCGTTCTTGATTAAATCGAAAGTGACCACTTAAACCAGTGAAGTTCATATGCAATATTTTGTTTAGCAGATCATTTCCACCAGTAAAGACTTTGAGCTCTCCCAGCCGTAGTTCAGATGTTTCCAACTCACCTAGCATGTCACTGGAAGTGAAAGTTATATTGTTGAATTCATCGATGAACTTATCGATTGCATTTGCAACTAACCAAACTGTATCATAAGCCTGAAGTCCATATATATTCAATGCAGAACTTACTGACCCATTCTGATGCATTTCCCTCCATCTAGACATAAAAGCTTTCTTCTGGCTAGACTCAGGAATATGTTGACGAAGCCCAACTACTCCTTGAAGAGTTCTAAGTGATGTTTGATTCATCCAAGAGAATGAGTCTATAGCAGTAGAAAGCCAATCTGTTGCAAGCCAAACATATTTGTTAGTCATCATCTGAAGCTCTTTGGCAATGGTAAAGATTCTGAATTTGGGGTCTGCATTAAGGTGAACAACATAAACACGAGGACCAAGCAGTTTGGATTTCTTGAGCAAATCCGTTATCTCAGTTTCATCAAAGTTAACCGACAACTCCAATTTGCGCAGTTTTGACATTTTCTTTGCAAATTCATCATCCAAAGCAGCTATGCCATTCCTTCCATAATCATCATCCACATAGATAGCAATGGCTTCTTTCCACTCATAAAAATCAATCAAATCTGCTATTGCAGCCATCTGATAAGAGTCACTTTGTGTGGTTCGCACAAAAAAGGGGAATTGCAGGGCAGATAGAGTTGGATCAGTAGCAGCATAGGAAATTTGGGGCACTTGGAGACCATTTGAAATATGAGAAATCATATGAGCCATTCCAGAGGACTGGGGACCAATAATAGCTACTACATGATTCTCAAGCAGCTGAAAAACTGGCATGAAACAGAGGTGCAATCAAGATAATGTAGTGGGCAAGGACTCCAAATTCTGAGTTCATACATCCAATATAAAGCTTTGAAACAGAATTAATCATGAAGCACTTGAAGCAGTGAGAACTAATTAAGAGTGCTAAATGCTATAATAGAAGTCAAAATTGGATAATTTAGTTGAAAAGAAACATTCTTGAGTTCAGAATCAAAACTTGAAAGGTTCTACACCTTAATTAGCCCTCAAACAGACCAAAAAAATAAAACAAACAACTAAGAAAAAGCACTTGGCAAAGTTCAATAACATGAAAGAAAAACATATTGAGAGAATTACACAAAGACAAAATCTAAACCTAAAAATATAACCAAGTTCAATTCTTCAAAATCAATTTTATTAAATTCAAAAAAAAAAAAAAATACAAAAATCAAGTGCTCTCAAAGAAAAATTTACAAAATCATGTTTGGGAATTTGAAGTGTTACCTCCAACAGAACCCAAGAAGACATTACAGTTTGCATCTTCCATGAACAACTTTAACTCTGTCCCATTGAGAATTCTTGCATCCGCATTAATATCAGACACCGCAGTTTCCATTGCTGGCCTTGCAGCTCTACCAATAACAGAATCAAAAGTAAAAACTGCACCTATATTTACAACTTTAGGCCTTTGGCAGGAAACAGAAGCATTGACAAATACCAATATGAAAACGAACCAGAAAAATGGAATAGCCATTGTCCTTGAGACTAAAGACCCAGTTTTTAACAATAAGTAATTCAAGCTAAAAGAACGTGGATACTCAGAGAAAAAAATTCAATAACTGTAGGCTCAAAAATGAAAGGCGACTCTGTTTCTCGATTAGTAAATTAATCTTGTCCATTAGTGAGGAAAGTAGAGAATTTTAGCTGAAAGAAAGAAAGAAAGAAAGCAAGAAGCTTGAATAATTATATGGAGTTGGTTACGAGATTAACAGGTAGGGACCCAATTCTTGAAAATGAGCAAAAAATCTTTCCAGATAGAAGATAAACATGAAAAGCTGAATTAGACCTTGTGGAAAAATTGTAAAACAGAGAGAAGAAAGAAGAAATTGAAGAAAAATGACATTCCCATTATAGGACAAAGACTTATAGGAAGATGGAGACAGGACAGGACAGTGGAGAGTGGAAATTGGACGGAGAAATAATTTGCAGGTCTGGTTTGAAGGAGGAAGAGGCAACTTGCAGGCTCCGGACCCACTTGCATGCATTAATTTTCTATCATTTTTCATTTAACAAAAAGAGTAGTTTCCACAGGTGAGTCACGTCGCGTGACTCACACTCCGTAAGAGATAATGAGACAGAGATGAGAACAAGTCCCATAACTAGACACATAGAAGATTTTTTTTTTTTTTTTTTTTTTTTCAGAAGGAATTGAAAGAAGATGACATTCCCATTATATAGGATCAGAGACATTATAGGAAAGATGGAAGACTAGGACAGGGACAGTGGACGAGGTGGAAATTGGATCGAGAGTAAGGATTCCAGGGTATTCTGGTTTTGAAGAGGAAGAGGGCAGACTGTGCAGGCTCCGTACCCGCACTTCGCATACATATTTTCCTAATCGTTTTCTTAAGCAAAAGAGTACGTTTGCCCGACAGGTGAGTCACGTCGCGTGACTCACACTCCGTGAAGAGATATATGAGACAGGAGATGAGAACAAGTCCATAGACTAGAACCACAAGAGGATTTTTTTTTTTTTTTTTTTTTTTTTTACTTTTCTTTGACGAAACAGACATTAGATAGAATCTTTGATATATTATGTTAATGTCTATTGAGAATTTTGGTTGGATCAATTATCGGAAACCAGTTTAATAGTATCAAATATACTTACTGTTATGGAATTAGTATATAAAGAATATATTATTTAATATACTTATTAAAATATAATATAAAGAGTAATATTTTTTTTAAATGACAAACAATCGATTATTGAAGGAAATAAATTTTCATACTTTAAATTGTATTTTGGCTTTTTTTTTTGTTATCTTGAAATATCAAATTCTAATTTCTAATGATACTATAAATTGCTTATTTTTAGCTTATTTTTATGTTAATAAAAATCAATTCTAACTGAAAAATTTTCTATATTTTTTTTATTAAAATTAAAACTGAAATGAATAAAACTAAATATACTTGATTCAGTTAATTCAACTGAATTCATAAATTAACTCAAGAACAAGCATTAAACAAAATAATCGTAAAAGATAGTAGGAAAATGAATGTAAGCTCTTTTACTGAGAATTTCACTTTCTTTTCATGTGCTTTTACTGTTGTTTGCTTGAGAAGAAACAGTGAGAAAATAAAAGAAAGCAAAGGATAACATACACAATAGTAAAAAATGTAAGATATTAGAAAAAATTACTATTTTATCTTTATATTTAGTCAAAATAAATATTTGCCTCTGTATTTTTTAAAATACAGAGTTTGCCCTTATCATTTCTCTCCATCACACTATTATATCTTTTTTTCAATTTTTTTATATTTTTTCATTAAATACAAGGACACTCAAAGAAATTAAAAAACGTAACTTTTATTTAGAGAAAAGAAATCTAAAAAAAGAGAGAGAATATACTTCCTAATCGCACACTCAAAGGAATATTTGTTGTCTAATACAAATGAAAAGGCAATGTTTTAAGAGGCATTTCATTTTTCATTAAACACCAATAAATATAATGCAAGAGCATATATAATTTCAAAAAAAAAAAGAAAAAAGAAAGAGCATATATATAATTAAGCATCTTTCGTGTGATTGGAAAAGCATCGATGCTTATTGTCTACTTTCAAAAGCATCATTCTTGTATCCACTCCTTTTGCTAGTTTGATAAGATAGAAATTACTCTGAAAAAAGAAAAGCTACACTAGAGTATTTGGCTTAATATATTAAAATAATCCAAACTTTATAGGTTTTTGCTATTTAACCCTATTTTAATTTTTTTTTGTCAATTTTATCTTAATTTTAACTTTCGATATTTTGCAGTGATAACATCCTCATTTGCAATTAAAATGAAATTGCAAATAAAAAAATATTTTCATCATTTTTAAATCATCATGTCAGATCAAAATTTAAAAGATAAAAATTCAAAAAAAATTCCATTAGCATGAACAAATAATGTTGCACAAATTAAATTTTTTGAAATAAATGTGCTAATTAATAATTCAATAACATTAAATTTTGTTATTTACAAAAAATTCCCAGGAAAAAATAAAAAATTAAATTAATAAAATATAATTAATAAACTTTACTGTTGATAAATATAATTAATAATACTGATGTTAAAATAAACTTTATTGTTGATCTTAGTGTTGATTTACACGACACGTTTTCTTTTTCCTTTTTTGTTTGTTTTGTTTTAATATAATTTATAATTATATACCGTTAAGTCAACCATTAAGCATATTTATATTTTATATAAATTTTACTTTGATTAAATCATTCGATAAATATTATCAGTTAATATAATTATTTTATTATTATAGTGTTTTTCATCATGTCAAAAATCTTATTAAATTTGTATTTGTGACCCGTAATAAATAAGAATTATTTATCATAGATATTGGATGCTGAGATACATTTGGATATTATGGGTTTTGGGGATACTATAAAAATAATTAACTGAAATTTTTTTAAGTAATATATAATCAAATAATTTAAAATTAATTAGTGTTAAAAATTAAATTTTAAGTGTAAGCTTATAAATATAAGAAATGCTTTCCAAATTTCAATTATCGGGCAGCGTGGCAGTCCCGCGTGCGTATTCTCAATATTTGGGCCTAACCGGTCATAAATTTGAAGGGCCGGACTATATCGAAAATTTTATGAGCCATAAGCTAAGCCGGGCTGGACTGGGTTGGGCTGGGAGAAGGTTGCCTTAGCCCCTATAAAATCAGCCCAAAGCCTTAAGGGTAATTCCGTGAATTGCCAAATTGCTGGATAACAGTTGCTCTGGAGTATGGATAGCCCATCTGTTCTTTTTTTTCTTATCAAAAAGAAAGTAGCAAAGGTTTCAGTGATGCTCGAAGGCTGTTGATAATGGCTTCTTCAGTTACCTCCTCTTTTCAAACCAGGTAGAAACCCTAACCCTAGTTCTCAATTGAGTTTATGCTTTACAATTACATACACTGTATGATAAAGTGCTGGCAGATCCATTACAGTCTATTATGTATCTTGTCAATTCTTGTCAATTAAGCGCATTATACTGGCAAAGAAAGAAATGTTTTGAATGTCATAATTTTCTCTCAAGCAACCCAATTGCTGTTTGGTTAGTTGGTAGTCTTTTCCTCTAATTTGTAAAAGATTGTTTCCCCATGTAACGGAATCGAATAATTTGATGAACAAACTTAGCTTGAACGAGAAATTAATTGATAGGCTGAAGGTTTATTAAGCTTTCTAGGTAATAAATTTGTGTTGTCATTTATTTGCGATTAGAAATACACTTTGCTGTCTTTTTTCCACAGAGCCTTTACTCATATTCGTTCATTTTAAAGTGTTGATTATATATATATATATATATATATGCCTTTTAATTTCATAATCCAATTTTTCAATTAGACATTATCATAAAGCAATCATTAAAAAAAATGCATGCTCATATTTGGTCATTAGCTCCTCTAGGCCCTTAAAGTGTCTCTTGAGAGAGTAAATCCAACCAAACCAAGTCTACTACCTTTATTTGTTTCATCTGGAAAAGTCTTGCTTATCTTGTTTTGTCAAAATGGCAAAACCACTTATTTCAAGATTCATATTTTATTCTATTTTGAATTTGAGCCACTTTGAAACCTTTCAGCCTGGGCAATGTAGAGGAGTTAGGACTTTCCCCAATGCCTGCCATTGCTAAATGAATTAGAATAATTGATAGTCTAATTATTCAATTCCAAGAACTCAACGTCTTAAAGCACTTATGCTTGATGATGTAGTCATTAGCTAACAGTGAAAATTCTTCGTTTCTGATATAACTCTTCTTCCTTTATGTTTCAGCAATCTGAGATCTGTGTTTTTGGGTGAGAGAAATGGAGTTGGTGTGCCTATTGCTCCTACAACTCGTGTTGGGTTCTTGAGAAAGATGATAGTATGTAAGGAGTCACGAATAGGGAAGCAACCGATTCAAGTGCCTACCAATGTGACAATCACATTGGATGGCCAAGATTTAAAAGTGAAGGGTCCTTTGGGGGAACTTTCAAGAACTTATCCTCGAGAAGTCAAGCTTGAAAGAGATGAGAATGGAGTTATCCGGGTTAAAAAAGCACTGGAGACGAGAAGAGCAAACCAAATGCATGGGCTTTTCAGGTAAATTCTTCCATCCTCTCGTCTTGAACTTTTCTTTCCCTAATTTATTTCACATTTTTTTGAAACTCTATTATTGGAAACTTTTTAGGTCGCATTTGATTTTCTTTGGAATCGGGAACAATTCAACTTTTGGAATATGATTCCCTTTTTTTGGTTTGGTTCACCAGTGATCTAAAATTGTTTAGTATAGCCCGATGTTTCGTGCATTGGATCATCTTTTATATTTGAATAATTTTAATATATTATTGAATGATATCTATTTTTACATAGTTCCTAATCATTAGGAAATTATTTTTAAGAGGTAACTAATTATTGGAATGGAATGTCTGTTTACATCACTACCGGCAAATATGTAGCCAACATGACCAGTAAGGTATATACAGAGAGTCAAGCATACTTTCTTGGTTGTATTATGTGAAATGAGAACATTGTTTGTGGTAAGATGCTTTGGGTTACAAAGGGACATTAAAAATTTTGTGTATAAAGTAATAAAAGATATTTTGAAAAGAAATACTGGCAGTTATTTGTTGTTAGTACCTTTTACTGTTGTAGCATTGTAGATTCTGTTGTTTTAAGGATTCTTTTTTATTGCAATATCTTATGTTTTTCCATTTGTATGTGAATTAAGTTCGCAAATACGAGCATCAGCCTTATGAACCGTAGCTTTTATTCTATTGGTCTTTTTATACCTTCATGTTATAATGCATCTTTTATTCTACTGGTCTTTTATACCTTTTCCACTTATTTCATGTTTTAATGCATTTAGGACACTTACCGACAACATGGTGGTGGGAGTGTCAAAGGGGTTTGAGAAAAGACTGCAATTAGTTGGTGTCGGTTATCGTGCAACAGTAGAAGGAAAAGACTTGGTATTAAGTCTTGGATTTTCTCATCCAGTTAGAATGACAATACCTGATGATCTAAAAGTGAAGGTGGAAGAAAACACGAGAATCATTATTAGCGGATATGAGAAATGCAACATCGGCCAGTTTGCTGCTTCTATTCGGAAATGGCGGCCTCCTGAACCATATAAAGGTAAAGGTGTGAGGTATGCCAATGAAGTTGTAAGGTTGAAGGAAGGAAAAGCAGGGAAGAAGAAGTGATCGATGCATTTCTTTGTTGTATTTTGTCCTATGTGCAGGATGTATTTCAGTGATTTGTTTTGTTGACAAGCAAATTTATTTTACATTTCATTTGCGTTTTCTGTTATGGGTTAGATTATTGCAGAAAGCGATGTAGAAGCTAGTGCAATCAGAAGCCTTGAAACAAAAGTCTAATATAAAAGGCGGTTTAGTCGTCATTTCTTATTTTTTATTTGATAGCGCGGCTATATTCTGAAAGGCTAATATATATTCCACAAGCATATGAATGAAATCTCATCATTTAATAGAACAATGGAGTTAATTGGCAAATTGTCAAAATTGAAAACCATGTGCTTGTGGAAGATCCAAATGATGTGCTTCATTGGCTGGCACGAGGCCACAACTTTTATCAAAACCCTTGCAATATAAAAGCGGTTACAATATTATATATTCTCAAAAAAAAAAAGAAAGAAAGCAGTTATAATCAACCCTTAATTGTGTCTATATTTGTATCCAAATGATGACAAATGAAACTATTAATCAAAGTATAATATAGAAGGACCATATATTTCCACAAAGTGTTGCCAAAGAAGTTCCAAAGCACAACTGTGAATTTCAATGCATAAAGAACAGTAGCGTAAGCACAGTTAGAGTGCGAAAGGGCTGTTGCTAGGTAAGCAACATCAAAAACCTACTGTACTGATACTCTAAAACATTAGAGTAAAAATCTACTCCTAATTAAAGTTGTCCAATATGATTATTGATTTAACCACTTTCTTTCACTGTACGCCTCTGTACACACCAACTTCAACCAAAAAAACAGCTGCTTAGATTTCTCTGAAATGAAAACAAAATGACCAATATCAAGATCCCTTAAATTGCAAAATATTCCAGGCACAAAATGAGGGCTGACAGCAATAGTAATATGTTCAGCACTATTTTTTTTTTTTCAGTTAATTTTTTTTAACTGGAAAAAAAGAGGATCTATTAGGTGTGTTAATCATTGCCCGTCGGCTCAAGTCACCGGTCAGATATTGACGTTCCGATTTAAAACACCTCCACAGGGCGCACGACTCCATGGTCAGCACTAATTCGAATGAATAGACAAGCAGTGTTGTTATTTTTGTTGATATTTGATGCGTCACATATTACCTAAGAACTGGCTTCCTGCTCCGCATCATCGTGGACCTCAGAAGTGGATTTCTCAGATTCCTCGGACTTTTCAATATCTCCATTGTAATTCTTCCAATATTTAAAATAGCAAAAGCAGGAAATCACCAAACAAAAAATAGAATTGGAAATTTTTTGGAAATTCAGCACAGGATAGATTTAAATCAAAAGGAAAAGAAAATATAGGAGCACCTGCTTCTTCTTATATGCTTCAACAGCTTTCTCATACTCTGCTTTCTTCTTCAAGGCCTTCTCAGCATATGGAGCTTTCTCCTAGATTTAAAGACCAAAACAACATAGAAAGAAAGCTAAAGATCTACAAGCAATCAATCGAAAATTAGCTACAATTTCCAATTGAAGGTTTAATAACAGAATTTAAATTCTAGCAATGATACATATAAAATGATAGGATAACTAAAACAGCATTTAACTACAGAGACCTAAAAATTATTGCGATTTTGTTTTTCAATGAGCAAAATGACATGAGAAACTGGAGATCTTACAGAATCAGACATTGATTTCCATTTCTCACCACCAGCTTTTCCAACCTGCAAATTCACAGATCTCAGTCAGTAATTACCTTCCATGAAAAGTTATTTCCCTTTTCATTGCCGAGAAAAACCAGAGAGTAGAAAACAATGTCACCTTTGAACTCCAATACTTAACCTAAACTTTATGATTATAAAATATAAATAATGAGAATAGAAAATCTATTCTCAGAGAATATCTGTCTCCAGCGGTTTCTCATCAATCAGATTTTCATCAATTTTACAGGTTTTCTCGTCAAACAAACAGACAAATGAAATTTTAAAATCGAAATAAATTGAATCTCACAGTTGAAACAGATTTGTTATTGGGAAAGTTCTCCTTGAAAGATTTCCTGAACCCCTCCCTGTCATCCAAAATAACAATAAAGCATATATATTAAAATTTCAATTAACAAAAACACTTCAAAAAAATACTAAAACGAACATTAAATATTTTTGCGAGAAGCAAACCGAATCTAAATTATGTTGAAATTGAACTTACATGAAAACAAAAAAAGCAGTGGGAGGACGCTTCGGAGCATCAGGATCCTTCGGAGCGGAGTTCTTCTTGCTCGTTTTTTCCTTTGGCGTTTTGGTCTCGACTTTGCGTGCCTTCAACTTCCTTCAAAATGCGAAGAAGAAAACTGTTAAAAGAAATCGATTCAAAGAGAAAATGCACCAAAAATATGTCAGAGAAGATAATCGATTTTGTAAAGAAAAAAACGAGATCATTAACATAGAAGCCAAATCTGACGAAAACCAAAATGAAAAAGAAGAAAATGTGAGTTCCGAATTCCGAAACCAGAATAAGGATTTCTTATGCAGGTTTCACAGTTTGCTACGAAACAGAGTCGAGAAATATGATAGGAAAGCAAAATTTCAAACCAGAACAACGATTCTCGAAAAATAGCTTTACAGCTACACAATCAATCGAATTTAAGAAGAAACAGAACCGAAAATATGAACGCAAAAGCTAAAATCGGAGCACATTCACGAAGCAATGACACAAACGCAATGTCGAAATAGCAAACAACAGAAAAAGAAGCAAAATAACGAAAAGAGTCACAAAGGAAGAAAAAGAGCAAAAACTCATTAGCAAAACAAAATCGAAGGAAAAACACATGTTCGCCTGAAATATAATCATTCAAACAAACATAGGCACATAGTTTACTCAAAAACAGAAACAATTTTTCTTAAAAGAAAAAAGAAAGCGTAAAAAGCAGTAGAGAGAGAGAGAGAGAGAGAGAGAGATACTCAGCGTCAAGCTTTTTGTGAGAAATCACAGCAGGTCTTGGTGCCTTCATGGCTTCGTATTTTGAAGCAGAGAGAATTTGAGAGTAACAGAGATATGGAGAGAGCAAAATGCTTTTAAGGCAGAGAACGAAAGAAAATTAAAAACTAAAACAGAAAATGCGAGGAAGCATTTATAAGTAACTGCGGTTTTCAAACGAAATTATAATGAAATTAAATTGAAATTTCAAGTCCAAATATTTGGGTTTTTATTTTTTGCATTTTTTTGGCGGGAGTGCTAATTGTCGAAGGGGCTGGCAATGTCAAGGGAAGAGTAGGATGAGAATATACTCGCTGCTAGAAAGAGTACTCGCTTTTACTTTACGAAACGTGTTGAGAAGGACATATTGGGAAAGGTAGATTTTCTAGTTTAGGCTCGTCGTTCGGGGTTGCGAGTATGAATCGTATGCAGTTATTGAAGTAGGCAAGTAGCTGTGTGAAAGCAAAACGGTCCTTTGGGACAGTGAAGGATGGGACGTGCAATGCCGCGTGAGTGGCCTTCCAGTTACATATTTACTAAAAAGAAAAAGAACAGTATTAACTAATTTATTGAAAAAATAATTTTTGAGAATTAAACTAGGCTTATCAACTTATTTGGCCAATTGTAAAATTTATTATAGTTATATATATTTTTTTCAATCTTTGTACTTTAATTCAATAAATGTGATGCAATACATTATAGTTAAAATTAAATAAAAACAATATTCATAAGCAAGCAAAAAAATTTGCCAAGAGAGCGAGAAGATAGTACAAGGAATGGATCCGAATAATGAAGATGATGTGAACTTTCTTCTGTTAACTGAAGGTCAAGAAAAATTCCTGAAGTGATTATTTCGAAAAACTTATAGACCAATCTTGCTAGTAAACAGCCACCGTCTGTCATTGCTCATGTATAAAGTAGGAGAATTGGAAATAAAGCTCTATGTTCTAAGATAGAGAGTCTGTAGAACCCGGGGACATCAGGTTCTTGACTCAGGAAATAGTTATTTCTTAGTCAAATTTGAGATGGAAACAGATTTTCATAAGGCCATATTGGATGGACCTTGGACAGTGGTCTTCAGTTATTTAGTAGTGCAACCTTGGAGTCCTTTCAATATTCAAGACTTTTAAGTTAGAACAGACTGTGGTATAGAAACGTTTGTCTGGACTTTCTATCCACCTTTGCCATAAAAAGGTCCTTTCTGCTATTGGCGTTGTTGTTGGAAGAGTTATAAAGACTGAATATAATACGGAAGAGTTATATTTCATTTATCGATAGTAGAAAGAGTTCTTACTACTTTAGTGATTGCGGCGATGCGGCAATATGCAATGCAAATCGTGAAATTGCCTTCTAATTTTTGTGAAATAAAATGGCATCTCTAATTCTCAGAGGAAGATTGACCTTTTGGAGAAATATGACTCATCTAAGTTTATAGGCGTCTTGGATTGAGAAATCTCAGTTTAGTTATTGAAGCTTTCCTCATGAAACTTGGGTGAGGTATTTTAAAGGATGGGAGTGATAGTTGGATCCAAGTGTTAACTAGTAAGCATAAGATTACTTCCAACTTCTACCCCCAATTAAAGTACTGGGAATAAAGGTTCTCTCAATGCAAAAGGCTTATTTAATATCTTAATGGAATTATATATGATCAATAAATTCAGTTTAACTTTATTTTTATAGGATTGTATAGTGAGAGAAGTAAATACATCGATCTCTTTTAAATATACAGTTTGAATTTTGACAATGCAATATAGTTAAACTCTCATGTTGATCCAAATTAATCATCATTTTCCTAATTAAACTCTTGTTTTTATTTTCTTTATTCACGCGACGCATAGCGAAATTATCTGAACTCAATTTTGAAGTCAATAAATTTTCTCTTATTATAGTTTTTTTACTATTGATATTGATACATAGAATGAAACTCTATTTTTATTATCATCCTATTAAATCAATTATCTATCAGATTACATAATCAAATGAATAATTCAAAAGTTTAGTCAGAGACTTTTATATATAGAAAACATAAATATATAGACAGATGGTTTCAAACTTCAAAAAAGAAATACAAACAATTTTTTTAATAATAAATAGGCCTTAATAACTCCAGTTAACCTCAAAATCAGTAAACATATCATAATGAAAACAAAATATAGATATTATTATAATAAAAACAGAAGCATAATTACAAATCCACCTTGCCAACAAATAGCTTAAAATTGCTCTTTCTAATATTCTGCAGGAAATAATAACGCGGCCGAGTTCAGTAGCGTGAGAGTGTATTTGATTTTGACTCTTATTACCTTAATGCTATCAACTCTTCTCTTTTTAATAATATTCATTGAATTGATAAAAAAAGTTATGATTAGAAAATAAAAACGTTAACTAAATCATATTTGATTCACATTGAAATATAAATTGATAATGGGTGTAATGGGATGAACTCATCTCGGGGTTTTGATCAATATGCACTTGTCATCCAATAGTAATAAAAATTTCAATAAAAGCAAAATACAAAATGAAAATTATTAGTTTTAATGTATCGTTGAAGTGATATTACCCTAACGACAATTGGCGTAATGATAAGATAAAAACCCTGAAAATATATTAAAAGATTTCAAGTTTAAGCCTTCTTCTCATTTTTTATAATATATCTATCTAATTAATAGATTGTCTTTCATACTTTGTAGTTTGAGCTTTACAAGTTGTAAGGTGTAATTGTATTGAATTGTAGTGCTTAAATTACATTATTATACCACATATAGAATTAACTTATATCAAGTGTAAATTAGTCATATATAAATAACTTACACCTTTTATGCATGGATGAAACTAGAATTTAATATATATATATATATATGAAATTAAAGCTTAATACCAACCCATATTATAATACAAGCAAAACATAGATAATAAGTAAAGCAGCATTCTTGGAATCCCACATTGCCAACAAAAAACACATTTTTGCTCTTTCTAATAACATGCAAAATAGCGAGGGGCAGCTGAGTCCGGTTGCGTGGGCTTGTAACTCAAACGAGAGCTTAGAGGTGGTGGGACACGGCTTCATTCTATGGAATCGGGCCTAACATGGCGTGGTCCTTGCTTGCCCATACCAAGCCTAGAGCTGAATGCTGTAACCCTAGCGAAGGTTTGGGTCACTGTATTCCTGGAGAAGCGGGTACCGCGTGAGGCTGGCTTAACAGAGCAGCGAGTACCTCTCGCTCTTGGCAGTGGATGGATTACAGGTTGGTGCTATTTGGGCCCAAAATGGCTCCGTAGGGGAAGCCCAGTTGAACCATCACCTTTTTTTCTCGCTTTTTTTCTCAGTAGTTAGTTTAATTCTTGCAATAAAAAGCAGAGAGAAAGAATTCATTGTTAATTAATTATGATGAATGGGTTTTTTTTTTTTTTTTTAAAATTTTATTAGTAAATTTTATAATGCAATATACTATTTACTTCAAAATTTTTAATCTCTCAATTCATTTTCCAAATTTTCAATTTGTGTTATTCTTTTGTACTTGACCATAAAAGGAAATAACACATTAATGGTAATTTTATTCACAGTAGATAGAATCAATTCAAGCACAAACATGTAAATTAATTGTGTAATATCAAAATATAAAATTCAATAATTTGAAGTGGTTATTAAATTGGACAAGTAAATTTAATATATTAAAACATTATTCGCCATGGTTTCCTACTTTGACAGGTATGATACATGGAAAGACAACTTGAAATCAACCTGTTATAAAATTCAGTCAAAATTAGATTGAATGCAAATCGACCTGTTTTCAAATGTGGCATAGCTCTAGAAGAAAGAGCCCAATAACCAAGGCAACAAAAGAATAATGAAACCAAAAGGGGTACTATGTTACTTGCAGACGTGTAAGAAGATTATAGGTGTAAGTCATATCACTTTTTACCTTGATGTGTTATTTCTTTTGTGCTTATTGTTGCTAATATTATGAGATACGAATCTGCATGAAGAAAAGGCTTAACGATTTTGTTACATATACTTTTATTTTAAGGTTGCTTTGGGTTTTGTTGGTTGTATTTTGCGAGGTACATATAACAATGCCATGAATTAGCATGAGGCAAACAACTGCTTGAGCAATGAAAAACACTTGAATAATAATGAAATCGATGTAGAAGCAAATTAGCTACTGAAGGAACAACCCCAGTGTAAAGAGAATTGCAAATGAAGGGACAACCTCATTGTGAAGAGAACTGTAGATGAAGGGACAACCCTAGTGCAAAGGAGAAATGTCGATCAAAGAGCAACCAAGACAAAGGAGAATTATGGAGGATACTCCAAGCACACTACCATAATTGAAGGGGTCATTGGTTGTTTGAGTGGGGGAGAGTACATGTGGAGATCCTATCTAGCTAAAAGGGAGAGGAATGGTGTAAATATAGAGAATGTTAATAATATGAAGTATAATCCTCTATGTAAGAAGGTGGATGATTTGATAAACAATGATAATATGTAATACATAAGAGAAGGAATATTGTATAAAAGTTTAATCCTTTATGTAGAAAGGTCAGTGATGGGTTGGATATTTTGATGATACGTCGTAGCTGAGAGGAAGAATGTTGTTTCTAGAAGAATAATAAAGAAGAACAGAAGCAATGCAAAAATACAAATTTATTTTTTGCAGTAGCTCTTCACAAAGCAGTGCAACAAGCAGATGCGTAGAACTTTTTCATTGGGGATCTGAGAACAAAGATAATTACGGCTAGAATGCCCATAGTGGGTGCAACATGATCGATGAAGTCATTGATCTGTTTGAGTGGGGGAGAATGTAATGATGCGGGGGTTTGGAACGCATCATTATGCTATGAAAAGGTTGTGCATGAGGTGGCGTGGGCTAATTTGATCATATGGGAGAGATATGAGAGAGTGATGGTTGAGATATAGCAATGTATCCTTATACCACACCTGGGTTTGCATTATTTATTATATATGTACGAAGGCGAGTCCAACTCCCATACCCATGGAGTTGTACCACTGTAATCCTAAGGACAAGCTGAGACTATGGAGATGAGAATGCTGTCGAAGGACATGCTAGGGGAGACCCAGCGTAATGCTCTTTGCCTCCTCGGATTGGTATGTGGGACTGAGCCCTAGTCAGCTATGACGTGAGCAT